AGGCTTGCTTCAACACTTGCAGGTATTGATGGAGCGGTTCTAAAGACTCCTAGCACCTTTCTACACGCGAGATTGTGGAGTGGTTGGAGTAGCTTTGTTGCGTAGCTTTGTGAGTGCCAGTATACTGGTGCTCCGTAGTCTGCAACGCTAGTAACGCACGCTAAGTAGAGCTGCCTAATGGCGTAGGGAGAGAGGCCTGTCTCTATATTTGCTAGTCTCCCTATCCTCTGGAAGGCGGCTTTGGCTTGGCTGGCACGCACAAAGATTTCTGCTTAAAAGTTGGTGTGTGTGTGTGTTTTTGTTTTTTTTTGTCATTATTACACTTGTTGTGGTTAACTCTTATAAGTTCTTCTCTTATATAGATTAATACTTAGTTATTCTATCTTCTAATAGAATTAGTTTGTCTTACTAACCTAGTTAACTCCTACAACTTCTCTCTACCTTATCGCCAGACAATTACCTCACGGATACTTTAGCTAAATAGCCTCGCCCTAACCCGGACTAAGACTAGGTAAGTATAGTTTCTAATAGTGTTAGGAAACCCCGTGTAACACTTTGACCACCTACGGATTTGGTGGAACGGATTAACTAATAGTCGCTTAAATAAGATTACCATAATGGCCCACAGCAGAAGTCAGGGACAGAAGCCTACAATTGCAGCTCCTACGACTTCACTAGCTCTCGACGACGAGATGCTTAAAGGAAGCGGTTCTAACTCTAACTTCTTAGATGGAGAAAGGAACAACGCGAACTAGGCTAAGGTATAAGATCTTAAGCAACAGCTGCGCATCTAGGCACGGCAGATAGCTGCTATATAGGAAATAATAGCGCAGATGGCTGGCTAGCTAACAGCTACGCCAAATGGACGCGTTATAAAACCTAAGATGGCAACGCCTGAAAAGTATAAAGGAGGTCAGCACGAACTTAGGACGTTCCTCACTAACATTAACTTATACTATAGATTTAATAGAGTACTAAACGATTAGGAAAAGATTCTCACAGCTAGCATGCACATAAAAGGAAAAGCAGCTAGCTAGATGTAACTATATATAGAGGACTTTCTCGCAGCACTAACAAGTTAAGGAACAAAGGCTAAGACTAAGAACCTATTTTAGGATTAGAATAGCTTTAAGGAAGAAATAGGACGCATCTTTAGGGAAGTAGACGCAAAGAACTAGGCCAAGAAAGCAATTATGCGCCTAAAGCAGACCGCGTCCGTAACCGCCTACACAGCAGAGTTTAAGCAACTATAGGCAAGGATTGATTAGGACGACGCAGCGCTACGAACGACATTTGAAGCAGGTCTAAAGGACAACATCAAAGACGCACTTGTATACTATAACAAGCTAGAAACGCTACAAGCTCTAGTGGAGCTAGCCACGCGTATCAACAATAGGTTATAGGAAAGGAATAAACAGAAGAAACAACAATTCCGCCCTAACACGGCTAATATAAAGCGACAGCGCAATAGAACTAATAATAATAGCGACATAATTATAATAGGCAAAGTACAAGAAAAGTCTAAAGATAGGAAAACTTGCGGAAAGGGTTAGGACAGCCTCTCCCTAAAAGAACGCAAGAAGCGTTACAATAGTAAGGCATGTCTCTAATGCGGCGAAGTAGGACACTTCCGCAGAGATTGCCTAGAGAACGAAGTTAAGCAGGCAGCGGTCAAGATTAGGATGTTGCGAGCTTAACGACCAATCTTGACGCCAGACGAATTGTTAGAGATCGACAACCTCAGCAATTTAGACCTCTACGATAAGGCACGATCTGATGAGATCACAGACTACGTGATCGTCCTGGGGCTCGTACGAGCGGACGAACACATGAAATAGGAAGTGCCAGAACCCACCAACTAGATCGTCAAAGACGAAGACACAGTCTGCTACTTAGCACTAGACTAATGCTAGGTATGCAGAAGTGCTATACACTATGCAAACGACTATTACCTTAGAAGAGGAAGAATAGCAGTCACAAGACAAAACGCAGCAGAAGCTATAAGACAAGCGGCTTAGGAACAACTATACTTTAAAGACGACCTACTAGACGGAAACTAAGAGATAGAGCATTAAAAGCCTCATTGGGTCGACTGCAATAGCATTAATTAATGCCAGTACCACGCGGAGGAAAGCAAACGAGATTAATACTAGAAAGATAGCTATTGCCACGCTTACCTTAGAGCAAGCGCTTGTAGGGTTCTAAACTATTATATCTATAAACCTAAGAAGCAGGAGGAGCACAAGAAGCTCTATTAGTATCAATGCAAGATAGCATTCTACATGTACTACTATAACGCTAAAGAAAGTTGTAAACTAGATTATAAGGCAACTAGTTATAAGCAACTTTAGGCAAACAAATGTCTAATGCTAGATTATATTGTCTATAAGGACAAACACCAAAAAGCGCACAAGCGCTTATGCTGGATTAACTGCGTAGAAAAATACTAATTCTATCAAGAACAGCGAATCGCGGCAAGGCAGGAAAATTATTACTTGCATAACACTATCGCGGCTAAGGAATGCTAGATAAAGAATTGCAAGATGCATAGAACAACAACAATCCTAATGCCAGAGACTATAGACAACATGATCCCACACGAGAATCTCTATTAGTCCTTCTATACAAACGACAACTATAAGATACACTAAAGCTTAAAGGACAACAATAGTTATTACCCTAAAAAACAAAAAGGCAAACGCCTTAGGAGTAAAGGACACTTAAAAAACTAGGATGCCGCTAAGGACAAGGTCACGCTAGTAAAGGTAGTTCTAAAACGACCCTTAGACGTGTATATCACACCAAGAGTTGCCTAATAGAATTAATAGCGACTATGCGAGTACATAGGCACGAGATAAAAGCGTTGATTAACAGTAGAGCTGCTCGAACGATAATCTCACCTAGAGCGGTGGAGAAATACGACATACCATACTAGAGTAAGAAACATCCGCTAAAGGTAGTATTGGCCAAAGAGACACCTGTAGCATACGGGAAAGGCACGATAAGGCTTGAAACAGAACTGGTAAAGCTAGAGGTGTCCGATACTAGTAGCTAAATAAATATTAGTATTATAGATCTAGGCGAACTAGATATGCTAATTAGTTATAACTAGCTAGATGCCCATAACCCTGCCATCAACTAGCAAAAGAGAACAATACTCAGCCAAGAACCTGCGCGTTGGGTTGCTGGAGTACGACACGAGATACGCCCGACGAATTAGTGCACACCCAAGGATGGGAGATTTGGCAAGATCTCACTGTATAAGATCGCGAGAATCTATGCGAAGGACCCTTAATAGATAGGAGTTATATAGATAAGACGCGTCGCGCCTACAAAGGACGGACCCTTACTACTAGATACACCAAATAAGGATTTATTAGGTATACTAAAGGAATATTAGACAAACGAGTTTTAAGATTTATTTAAGGAAAACAAGGCAATAGACTTAGCTAAACACCAGGATTGGGATTACGAGATTATCCTAGAGGAAGGAGCAAAGTTGACGCTAGGAGGAATGTATCCTATATCGCCTAAGCACAACGCTAAGCTTAAGAAATACCTCTAAAAGAATCTAAAGAAAGGATTTATTAGACTAGGATTAAGCCTAATGGCCTTACTAATATTGTTCGTAAAGAAACCTAACGGAAAGTGGCGACTATGCGTCGACTATAGAAGGTTAAATGGGGTTACTTAAAAGAATAGATACCTACTACTACTTATATTAGAGCTTATAGATCAACTCTAAAGAGCTAAGTAGTTTACAAAGTTTAATGTCTAGGAAGGATTTTACTAGATCAGGATCAAGGAAGGAGACAAATAGAAAATAGCGTTCAAGACAAAGTATGGACTGTTTAAGTACATAGTAATGCCGTTTAGATTAACGAATGCGCCAGCAACCTTTTAATTAGTCATTAACAGCGCTCTCCATGAATACCTTGGAATCTTCGCGACAGCGTATCTAGACGATGTACTAGTGTACTCTAGAGGATCGCTTGAAGAACACATCAAACATGTTAAGAAAGTGCTTAGGAAGCTTAAGGAATACAAGCTGTACCTGCAGCTAAGAAAGTGTGAATTCCACGTTAAAGAAACGGAATTCCTAGGCTTTATCATCTTAATAGAGGGAGTTAAGATAAATCTAAAGAAGATCTTGACTGTACAGGAATGGCTAAAACCTAAAATAGTTAAGGATGTGCAATCCTTTCTTAGATTTGCCAATTACTATTAGAAGTTTATTAAGGATTACTCAAGAATTACCGCACCTCTCTTAGAGATTACGAAGAAGGAAATAGGATTCCGCTAGAATAAGGAACATTAAGAGGCTTTTGATTGGATCAAGCAAATATTCCTAACCGCACCCGTACTAGAGATGTACGACCCAAAACGGAAAACGAGGGTCAAGACTAACGCCTTAGACTATGCACTTGGAGCTGTGTTGTTACAGCAGGGCCTAGACGAGAAATGGAGACTGGTGTTCTACCATTTACGCAAGTTCTCTAGAGCAGAACTAAACTACAATGTTCACGATAAGGAACTACTTAGAGTAGTCGACGCCTTTGAACAATAGAAAGTGTATCTGTTAGGACTTCTAGATATAATTGAGGTATTTACTAATTATCAAAACCTAGCGAGTTTCATAAAGACAAAGAAACTCAACCGACGACAAGTCTAATAGGCAGAGATGCTAGCTTAGTTCGACTTCAAGATTACGCATCGTCTAGGATCGCTTAACAGAGCAGCGGACGCTCTTAGCCAAAGATCCAACCTTAAGGAAAAGGAATACAAGATACCACACGATGCAGTACTTAAGAAAATGCCCAATGGCAGTCTTAAGTACAACCAGCCAGAACTAGCTCGAGTAGCTAAGGTGGCCGAGCAAGTGGAAACGTTACAGCAACGATGGCAGCAACAAGCGGCTAGCTGGCAGTTTAAGCCTAAAGACACTAGCTCTAATAAACTATTACAGGACGAAAAGGAGTACTAAGATATAGTTTCAAAGAATTAGACATATGTACCTCCACACATGAGATTAAGTCTTATACAAGAACTGCACAAGTCCCTAGAATACAAACACATAAGAATTAAAGAAATAGTTAAGCGACTATTAAAGGAGTTTATAATACCACGCATGCGTGCGAAGGTGCAGAAGATCTTAGGCAACTATTTAGTATATTACTAAAACAAGCCTAAGAGACATAAGCCCTATAGCCTGTTATAACCCTTACTGCCACTAACACGACTATAGAGTAGTGTAACAATGGACTTT